AGGGGAAGGAGGAGGGGAAGGAGGAGGCGGAAGAGGAGGGGGAAGAGGAGGAGGAGGAGGCCTTCGATGGAAGGCCGCGGCAATTCCCAGAGGCCCTCAGTCCTGCTGAAAGGCTGCTGCGTCTTGGGGGGGAGGCTCTGAAAACTTTTCGGAACGCAGGGGGGCTGCCGAGCCTTCTGAGAAGGCCTTCTCTCCTTCTCGCTTCCCCCCTGGGCGCGCCGCCGATGCACGGGCCTGGCGCAGGAGGTGGGCCCAGAGAGGCGTACGCTTCCCAGGGCATCCGACGTCGTGGACCGGGCTCCGCTCAAATCGGTCCCTGGACCCTCCCCTTGCCATCGCTAGGATGTCGACTTCCCGTGCGTTGCTCGGTCTCGCGCGCGTCACTCCCGCAGGATGATCCAGTCTGCCCTTCGATGGCCCTCGCCGCTCGCCGCAACAAAAATACGCACACGTCCGAGCGAGGCCAAGGAGGAGCTGGGCCCACGGAGGCGTAGCCAGACATGCGACGTCCTGATGTTGTCGATACGGCGTCCCCGGAAGTGAAGGGGCCCTGGGACACACAAATGCACAAATAACAGGATGCCCCACATTTCCCCATATCCTCCGGGGGTCTTGTCTTCCCCACCACATCCCATAGTTCCCCATCTTCTCTGGAGAATCGACGATCCATTCTGTCTGTATGTTTTTTCCCCTCCTAGCAGGAAGTCCCGGCCCGTTCCCCGGCGAGGGCCTCCGGAGGCCGACCACGGCGAAGACCTCCCGTCCCGATATTTTCTACGATATAAGAATAATACTAATAATCCTAATAACTATACGAGCAATACTAGTAATAACAATACTACGAATGACACGAATACTAATCATAATAATACTAATAATACAAATAATACTACTAATAATAATAGTAATAATAATGATAATAATAATAATAGTAATAATAAGAATAATAATAATAATAATAATAGTAGTAATAAATAATAACAAGTGGCACGTGTGTGCCCAGGCTCATACAACAAAAAACTGAGAGGGCGTTTGAAGCAGGAAGATACCATGACTGCGGGATCGGAGATGGAGAAGGGGAAGCTGGGGCGGCGCCGCCAGGGCGTGCCTAAGACAAGGTGAAGAGGCAGGAGGTGAACGCAGAAGAATCTAAGATCGAGGTCGCACTCGAGCGCAAGTGGGGTTGCCACACCTTGCGATGTGTGTACCAAGGTCCCCCAGGAAACCTCAGGAGGCCCGACTTGGATACCGGAAGAGGCTCCATGAGGCCCTGGGATTGTGAGTGTTGTGTGGGTGTGTGTGTGTGTGTGATGTGTGCTCTGTGTTGTGCGTGTTTTCTGTGCGTTGTAGGTGCTGTGTGTGTTATGTTTGTTTAGCGTGTGATGTGTTGGGTGTGATTTGTGCCTCTGTGTGTGCATGTAGTTCTGATGCCCCAGGAGGCCCCAGGAGGCTCCAGGCGGCCTCAGGAGGCCCCAGGAGAGACCCCAGGAGGCTCCAGGAGGCCTCAATTGGCTCCAGGAGGCCGCAGGAGGCCCCAGGAGGCCCTAGGAGGTTCCAGGAGACTCCCAGGAGACTCCCAGGAGGCTCCGAGGCGGGGTCTGAGGTACCAGAAGGTACTGAAAGCCCCAGGAGGTTCCAGGAGGCCTCCAGGAAGCTCCGAGGCGGGGTCTGGGGTACCAGAAGGTACGTCGGGGCTCGATTTTGGGAGGATGTCTCGGGCGAAACCGCCATTCTCTGAGAATCGTGGTCAAACTCACTGAAATTACAAAGGTGCGTATAATAATAATCTTAGTATTAGTAATACTAATAATAATATTAAAAATAATTATTAATAATAATAATAATAAGAATAAGAATAATAATATAATTATCATCATTATTAGTAGTATCATTGTTATTATTGTTATTAATATTATTATTCTGATTAAAATCATTATTATTATTATTATTATTATTATTATCACTATTATTATTATTATGAGGAAAATAATGCTAATACTAAAAATATAAAAAAAACGACGAGAGCATGTCTGGGCATGCTTTCCTGGGCACTCGACGCCACGAGCTGGGCTCCGCTCCAGTCGGCCCCCAGGCCCCCTCCGGTGGGCTCCGGTCCCTGTCTGCGGGGCGCGGAAGGGGGGGTACCAACTCAGGTGGGGGGGGGGGGGGACGTCGACCTGGAGTCGGTGACTCGTCGGCGATGGATCGGCGATAGGCCCCCGAGAAAAATGCCGCGCGTTCCTGGGCGGGGTGGGCTGTCGGGCCATCGGGCCCCCATCGGCACTGGATCGGCGATTGGGAGCCAATGCGTTCCTCCCCCTCCTCCCTTCCCTCCTCCCCCCCCTTCCCCCCCCCTCCTCCTCCTCCTCCTCCTCCTCCTCCTCCTCCTCCTTCTCCTCTTCCTCCTTTCCTTCTCCTCATCCTCCTCCCCCACTGACGTTGCCCCTGACTCTCCCAGGGGCCCCGAGTCGTTCCTTGATGGCCCGGGCCCCTCCGAAGCGGGGCCCTGCAGGGGCCCAGACTTTGAGGAGATTTGGCCGCCGTGATTCTTCCCGAGATGCAAGGCGTCGGGCGTCGTGAACGGGGGGGGCCAAGCAGCGTGGGGTGAAGACGCGTGCGCCACTTCTGGGGGGTCGTGAGTCGGGGGGGCCCAGCAACGCGGGTGAAGAGACGTGCACCTCCTGTGCACCTCTGGGGCCCGCGGTGGCGGCTCGTGGTGCCGTTGAGGGCCGCTTTCTTGCCACATGTTCCTGCAAGCCTCGCCCCCACCCACGTCTGATTACCTACCAGACCACCTAAACCCAACCCGAAGACCCGAATTCCAGGTCGGACGGGTACGGGCTTCGTACTTTACGTGTTTTTGTCAACGTTCCCCGACCCCCCCCACTGGAAATGGAGGGCAAATCAAGGCCTTCGGGTTGGGTTGGGGTGGTTTGGTGGGTGGTGAACGTCTATTGCCCCCCGCACCCCTAGGCCGTCCGCTCGAAGAGCTGGCGCGGTTCACCCTCCCAAGCCACCTGCTCACCACCGAGTTGGGGAACGACGTATCCGACTGCGGGCGCGCGCCGCGCCGGCGCGCGGGAGAAGCCGAATCGGCAGTGGCCTGCTCGCCCAGCCGCAGCGGAAGTGATGCTCTGATTTCGGGTGTGTCTCCATCTACGGCTGGAGGGAGGAATTGAAGTTCAAGGGTCGAGGAACCCCTGACAAAACATAGGGGAAGAGAGTCTCTGGGTTTCCGGTTCATTCCTCCTCCCCAGAGATGCTTCACGTGACAACCAGACACTCGCAGACGATGGGGGGGAAAGGGAGAGGGAAGAAACGGTGCGAAGAGGATGACGAAGAGCAGAGGGGATACGGCGAATATGCAGGGCAAGCTTGGATGGACAACGAGTAACCATCGCGGGACAACAGTTGTACCGCTCGAGTCCGTCGTCGATTTTTGCAAAGGTGAAGAGACACTACTCTGGACAGCAATTCTTACTGCCTGGTGGACGAAGAAAACCACGAGAAGAGACTAACGAGGGAGGGAACGGGAGAAACCGCAATGTCGAAACGCAGGGAGCGTCTTCGGGGGGGTCTCCTGCGGCTCTGTGAAGGCGACTAGGGGAAATCTCCTCGGGGCCTTCTGTATGCGTCTTGGGGGTCTCCTGGGCCGGGAGTTGCCAGAAGTGCCCCTGGCCCAGGGGGCCCCCAGGACTTCCAAGGAGGCCCCATCACATCCTTCCGAGCACCCCACACGAGGCCCAGGGGACCCGAGGGACCCCAAAAGGAAGCGAAACGCCGGGGGCACCGTGGGCGATCGTGGAAACCCTGAACCCAAAATGTCCGTCTCTTGGGAGGTCGACTTTTGCTTCCGCTGCCTTTCGCCAGCCTTCCGCCGGCTTCCGCCGGCGGAGGCGGCCTCGTTCTACTTCCGCCGCGCTCTGACGTCCCTCCGACGCCTTCAACCGCGGAAGAGATGCCAACGTCTGCGATCCCCGACGGCAAGACCATTTTTGGAACGCCCCACATCTCATGTTGCATCCTGGGGGGACCTTGACTGTCCCGTCGCGGCCCCATCCGCGTCGAGTCCGTGTCGAATCCATGTCGGACTCGCCAGATCCGTGGCGAACCCGCGTCGAATCCGCGACGAATCCACGCCAAATCCGCGTCGAGTACCTGAGTATTGTTTAACCGATCCCGATCCCCAGCGGCATGGCCTGGGCCCCACTGGCCGATTTACCCCCTTAGATGGGGACAGAGGTCGTTCCCTTCGGGTTTCGAGGGGTCTATCCCCAACTGGGGTGGCAATTTGCTGGGGGTCTCGAAGGAGATGGGGATGGGGATGTGGATCGTTTGAACGATACTGAGTACACGTCGTTCATTTCTAATCGTGTTCATGTCTGATTGTGCTCGTTCCTAATTGTTCCTGGCCCCCTAGTGGCCAGGAAGAGGCCCAGGATAGAGGAATTAGAAATGAAAGAACCTCGTTCCCCAAACAATCAAAGATCTTTCGAAGAATGAGAAATGAACAATGTGTACCTCTGGCACCCGCCCCCCGACTGGGGCATCGAGCCGCCGCGCTGCGACCAGCACCGCGGCGGCCGCACCCCCTGGGCGTGTCTGGGTCCGTCTTGGAGCCACCCTTGCGCCGTCGCGGGCGGCCACTGAGCATCGTTTCACCGGTCCCTACCCCACGAGTTGCACATCAGGAACAACCGAACGAAAGCTAGAGCCTGGAAGAAGTGGAACATGGAGAGATATGGAGAGGATGAGGAAGAACAAATAGCCACAAGAGAACATCGAGACAAAGTCGCTCGAAGATGCTAGGCCTGGTTCAAAACCTCGCGGCCCTCAACCCACTGGCGTGGCCGATTTACCCCCCTAGATAAGGATCTAGGCTGTTCCCTTCGGGTTCCCAGGGGCCTGCCTCAACTGGGGTGGTGGGATTGTGGGGCTGAGACACCATGGCACGGACTGAGTCATGGAGAGATACATGCTGGAACATCCTGGGGCAACCTTTCTGTTCCACTAGGTTTGCCAGTGCGGCATGCGCGTGAGGACCCGAGAAAGATGCACATGACAGGGATGCGCCCGTGCCATCTTTCTAGCAGCGGCGACAGTCGGCTTCATGTTCGCTTGAGCCCGCAGGTATAGGGCAGAAAGACGGCGCAGAAGGACGTCTGGAAAGTGCTGGCAACGCCCGAGGGGCCGTGCTGCACCCAATGACGCGTGGCACGCCCCTGGGCAGGGACCGAAACCACTGCACAGACCTGCGCACGCGCGGGCGAGCGTTTTGACAGCATACACCCGGCGCTGGAGGGGGGGGCAGAGAGAGGAAACAAGGTGAAACAGGGCTTCACGACGTCAATAGACGTGCTCGAGCACCGCGAGTGCAGGCTGCCGGCGCGTGCGCCACAGGCCGAGGCCGCCTGCCTCGCTCGACACATCCGGTACTGGCCGAGGGCGTGCGCAGGCGGACGGACGGGCACTGATGGGCCCATTTTCCACCACCACTACCATAGGTAGGAGAGGGAGGAGGAGGAGGAGGAGGAGGAGGAGGAGGAGGAGGAGGAGGAGGAGGAGGAGGAGAAGGAGGAGGAAGGAGGAGGAGGCGGAGGAGGAGGAGGAGGACCTCCTCATCCTCCCTTCTCTCCAGTCCCACATATGGTAGTGGCGGTGGTGGAAAATTTGCCCATCACGCAGCACGCCGAGCAAAGCGCGGCCCCCAAGGCTGGGTGGTCGGAGCCATGGTGCTCAGGCGCCCGTGTCGTCGCTCGACCAGAGCCGAGCTGCAAGAAGACATGCCGTGCCTCAGCGTCGATTGCAATCTTTGTGCCCACTCTTGCTGGGCGAAGCAGCGGTGCCTCTACCGCTCGAGAGCGCAAGCCAAGTATTTCCTGGGGGCGAGGAGAACATTAAAAGGAGAACAGACGAACCGCCTGTCCGCACGAGCACACTGCAAGACTGTTATGTTCCTAGTCGTGTGCGGCTGCCGGTATTTCCCTAACACTGCCCATCATGTAGGGGTCCCTGCTCAGCTTCTCAATACTTGGCAGGCGGTTCTAGCGCAGACATGCGACGTCCTGATTTTTTCAGGACGGCGTCCCTGGAAGTCCCGACCCTTTCCCCGGGGCCCGTGTTTCGTCCTGAGCCGTTTCTTGACGCTCCCGAGGCCCGGCGAAGGCCCCCCGACGCCGAAAACTGCCAAAAACCTCCCGTCCTGATGTTTTTTTCCTGCGACGCGAGCATCTCTGGGAGGCGTTCGTCCAGAGGTCGCCATGGGCGCCCCGCTCGCTGAGCGGCGGCCCCGGGCTCTTCGCCGGACAGGCCGCCAGTGGCCGCCCGTGGCCGCCTCGTGCGCCCTCTGCCGCTGCGGGGCCTTCGCGCCTGCCATGGCTGCCCGTGAGCGCGCCTCGTGGCCGCCATCGTGCGCGGGCACGGGCTTCCGGGCCCTCCCCGTCGCTCGGAGGTCCATTCCCTGTGCTCTTTTCGGTTTCGTGCGTGGTTTTTTTTCCTTTTTTTTCGCAGGATGACCGGAGGGCCCAAAATCGAATCGAGAAGTCGGATCGGAAGTCGACATGAGTCGGATCGGCGGAAATCGGCAGCCGAGCCGGGAAAAGTCGAATCGGCAGAAATCGGCAGGCTAGTATGCCTCCAATAAGAAACAGGAACCCACATCGGAATCCCAAGTCGAATCGAGTCGGAATCGGAAGCCATCGAAATCGAATCGAATCGAATCGGAGGAGTCGAAACGAGCCCTGGGATGACCCAGGATGCTCCTGAATAATCCCCGCCGAGAAAAAGTGCACACGTCCGAGCGGTGCCAAGGGTGTGCGTTGCGCCAGGAGAGGCTGGCCGTGGCCGCCATCCGAGCGCTGCTGCTGGCCACGAGCGCCTGCGCCACGCAGCTGCCACCGCACAGCCGGCAGCACCGGCCCTGCGTCGCATGGGCTGCACCGCGCAGTCCTCGCGCCGCAGAGCTTGCACCACCGAGGAGAGGAGAGGAGAGGAGAGGAGAGGAGAGGAGAGGAGAGGAGAGGAGAGGAGAGAGAGAGAGAGGAGGAGGAGGAGGAGGAGGAGGAGGGAGAGGAGGAGGGAGGAGGAGGAGAGGAGGAGGAGGAGGAGGAGGAGGAGGAGGAGGAGGAGCACACCACAGCCTGTGCCACGTGGCCTCCACCACGAAGCCTGCACCGCGCAGCTTCCTCCGCATGCTCTGCGCCACATGGATGCCACTGCACCGCACACGCCAGCCCCCAGCTGCAGGCACGTGGGGGGGCGACGGCAATCCAAATGTGTTCACTATACGCATGTGCACGTATACATAGATGTGCGCGCATATACAGATGTACATCTATCCGGGTATGACTCCATGTACGGACGCAAGATCTCACAACCGTGCCACAAGCTCGGGAGAGTTGTCTCCAAACGCCGACGTCGTTGGCCGTGCCCCCTTGCAGTAGGCGCCATGTGAAGGTCCGACGGTGTGCTACTGTGGCGGAAAATCAGCCGAAACGTGGTCGACGGCATTGCCAGAGCAGCGCAGGGCGAAACCGCACTGGAGGAAGCCGCGCCCCTTAGTAGTACTGAGGTGTCTGGCTTTTTGGAGCTCAGGGGACTGGTGTTTGAACTCAACAACCAGCTCGCTCCTGAAGTCAACGAACCAGGTTGCTTGGGGCCCGTGTCTGACATTCGGGGGAAGTGCTGCCGAGCCTGCAGGACAAAGCGCGCCCTCGTTGGAGTCTGGCGAACGGGCAGTGGACGTTCAATGCGGAGATCAGGAGGACGAGGAGGAAAAGAAAGAGGAGGAGGAGGACGGGGGGGCGAACCCGAAGCCAGGACACCCCAAAAAACATCCCTGCCGAAGAACCATACAACGTACGCTTTGCGGCTGCTCAGTCGCCCCGTCATCATGTTGCATCGTCATTTGACAGGGATGGCGGGGTGCGTGCTCAGGCACGCGCGGCGCACCTCGCAGGCGTCACGCACCCGTCTGGCGGCTGCAGTGGCTTCTGATGCCCGACGGTGGCGGCCGATGCTCATGCTGAGACTCTGGTTCTTTTTATTGTTGGGAGGGCGGTTGGGATTGGACGACATGGGGGGAGCGCTGTTCCCTACAGTCGGCCTTGATTGGACAGGACACGCGAGAGGACACAAGACCCTTCCGAGGGCCACATCGCCATAGGAGTGTAAGAAAGCATGTGTCGCGAGGCACAGGACACAAAGGTACCCTTGGGCTGGCAGGGTCGACCTACTAATCCGGGCCGACTGTATTAATGAGCACCCCCTCCCTCCCGACTGGCAGCCAACCCCAACCGATACTGCCAGCATCCCCCCCCACACCGTTCGGGCCATCAAACAATGCAAAATCTTGCCGTCGCTCGGACGTCCATTTCCCGTGCATTTTTCGGTTTCGTGCGTGTTTTTTTTGCTCGATGGTCCAGGATGGTCCTCGATGGTTCCCGTCGAGGAAAAATGCACACGTCCGAGCGATACCAAGAAATACACTTGGGCCTCCAAATCTGGAGCATGCACGGGCGTCCCGTGATCACTTAGCATTGGCATTTGACAGGGCCGGCTGGGGTGCCGGCATACTGCTTGCTTCGTGCAGGCCAGCCATCCATCCATGTCGAACAAAAAAATTACAGCCGGGGCGTTGACCTAAGGAACCCTGAATAGGGAACGAGGCCCCCTTCTCCCATAAGTTGAACTTCGATTTCCCATGGGAAAGCCTAAGGACAACCCTAGGCAAACTGCAACACAATCCAGGAACACCGAGCTCCTCCCCAACGAAAAAGGGTGCCTTCTTCAGCGCCCAGACTGTGGCCTCCAAATCCGCCGACCCTGCAGCCTTGCTGAGGCTACGGCGGCCGCGGGCGCTGCAAACCGCTCAGCGCCGCGCGGGAGGCAGCGCCGCAGCATGGACGGTGGGCGAGTCCACCCTCGCAGCCCTGCGCGCGGCCGATGGCGCGACGGCCGAGTGGGCCGAGGACCCGGCGGCGCTCAGCGAGGCCGCGGAGCTGCCGCCGTGCTCGGAGGAGGCCCGCGCGACCGCCAGGGGCCGTCGGCGGGAGGAGTGGCGGAAGTGGGTCCAGGGCTGCTTGGCCAACGGCCGCTGCATCCGGGGAGGCGGCAGCCTGGACGCGGAGCTCGTGCCCGACCCAGCCGCGGCTCCCGGCTGCCCCGCATGCGGGCCCGCGATCGTGGCCGATGGCGCGGCGGGGCGGCCCCGCCGTCGGGAGGGGAGTGGCTGCAGGAGCTCGACGGCCTCCCCGCGCTTCCCGGGCGCGTCCCGAACAACTGTGATAAAAGACCGAAGCTCTGAACAAGTGTGACACAAAGAACAAGTGTGAGACAAAAGCACAAGTGTGATACAACAAACAAGTGTGATAAACAACGAGTGTGGCAAACACACACACACACACACACACACCTGTTCGGAGGGCCGATCCGATGGGCTGGCTGCCGCGGCACGGGCGAGCCGCGGCTGCTCCCCGGCGGGCTCCACGGAGGGATCGCCGAGCCCTTCGAGGAGGCGCAGGCGAGCGGGCGCGCTGGCCCCGAGACCTCGCCGAGGCCGGAGGGGACTGCTGCTGCCAGCCCGGTGGAGAGGGCGGCCCGCTAGACTTCAGTCGGGCCTGTCCCTTTACTGGAGGAGTATGCAAAAATAGTAAAAAAAAATATTCAGGGGACCATCTTTAAAAATTATGTTTTAACATTATGGGAGTATGTTTGGGGAACTTTTGATTTTCCTGCCAAAATCCCCCCGTAGGTGACAGGCCCGACCTAACGCTAGACCGGAGGCCCATCTGGCTGCTGTCGATCCTGCGTACCCCTAGAAAGCCCTGGGTTCGCTGGGGACTAGCTTCCCACCCACACGACGAGCACCCTTCCAAAACGACGAACACCTTTCCAATAACGCCCCGAAGCCCTCCGAAGAGCCTCCCAGAAAATTGTCCCAGAGGGTTTTCGGACAGGGTTTCGGGCCGGCGGCTTTGAAAGGAAACCAGTCCCTAGCGTTATGTTGCTCCAATCGTTCTGAAGGACCACATCCCAAAAATAATGTCGAGCACCCTGGAAAGTGTCGACAGAGTGTCGAAGCAGTGTCGGACGAGTGTCTCCCAGGTCCCGACACGTTAAACCCCTCGAGTTTCGGTACTTTTCAGGTGCTCGAAATTCTTTCTGGTGGTCAAGGCTGAAGTAGGCTGGAGCATCATAACCCCAGCGAGCCCTGGACTTTCTAATTGTACCCGCTGTGGGCGGCCGGGCGCGCGCGCCTCCTGGCCCGGTGGCGCCTGAGCCAGGCCGGCGAAGACGTGCAGCGCGGCGCCGAGGAGCTCGCCTGCGGCCTCGCAGTGGAGCTATCGAGGCCGCCGAGGCCCTCGGCGAGACCCTGGCCGGCGCAGCCCTCGGCTGGCGCGAAGCGTATGATCGCGTCGACCTCGGCATGGGCGCGTACTCGGCCAACCTTAAGTCGGGCCTGTCCCACCACAGGAGAGATATTCAAAAATAGTCCACAAATAGTCTGGGGAGTATTCTTAACTATTTTTGAGCATTTTGGGATAATTCTGAATATTCTTGATTTCTCGCCAAAAATCCCCCTGTAGGAGGACAGGCCCGACCTAAGGCCAACCGGGGAGATTGAGGGTTGGCCGCGCCCTCGGGTGCGCATGGGCCCCCTCTCTGGTGGCATCTTGCCTCGGTGTGCACTCGCGGTGCTCCTCTAGAGCGTCCTGACGTGGCCCTGGCACCGGCGAGCTGGCGCGGTCGACGACCGCCTGCAGCGCAGAGTTTCAGTGGACGATCTGACGCTGTGGAGCTGGCGTCCGGTGCAGGAAGCTGGCGAGGCGGCGGAGTCGGTCCCAGCAGCAGCCGGGCCAGCAGGGCGGCGGGCGAGAATCCTGCTGCTGCGAGCGCCGCGCACCGGGCGGGGGACTAACGGGGGCAGTCCCAGAAGCGGTGCTGCCGGTCCTCCCGCGCCGCACCGCAATGCGGGCAGCGCTCCACAGTCTCGGTGACGACATTACCACTCAGGACTGCGCGAGGGCGCCGGCAGCGTCGGGCGCAAGCTCGCCGCTCTCGAGGCGACGGGTGGGCCACAGGTCCATGCCCCCTGCTACGTGAGTCAAGTCGGCGCGCCTGGTCCTCGTGGGCCTCGCGGCGCGCCCAGGCTGCAATCAGCGCCCGCGTGCCCTGCAGGGCCTGGCCAGCCGGCCGCCACCCTGCTGGCGCTGACGGGGCGCCCAGCTGGCTCGCCACGCCTGCGCCCAGCTTCAAAGCCGCCATGCAGCGCGCCGCAGCTGCGATGGGCCCTTGGCGACGGCCGTGCCCCGCGGCGATGGCGCCACCCGCCTCTCGCCACATGACCTTCGGCGGGAAGCGGCCGCGCCGCAGCGCCTTGGGGATCTGCCGCAGCGGCGCGATGGCCGTAGTCGTTGCTGGGCCCAGCCGCCAGCTGGGGCTGAGGACGCCGAACGCCACCTCCGCCGCGACGCCGAACACCACCTCCTCTGCCGGCACATGTGGCCCCCAATTCAGGCAGCGCTGCTGGAAGTCCACTGGCAAGGGCCCGATCCGAACGAACCTGCCCGCCGATATGGGCAAGCGACTCGGCGCGACCGCGCAGCGGCGCCGGCGGCCCGCGGTCGCCACGACGCCAAGATCCTTGAAGCTGGTGCCCGCGGAAACGCCCTGCGCCTGCGCCTAAAGCCAGCGCCGCACCGGCGCCGAGTTCGCGAACTGCACGCTACCAGCCCACGGCGTGCTCAAAAGCCGCGGTCACCTGCAACGCGTCCTTCCTCTGGGCCCCCAGCTGGCGGCGGAGGCCGCAGTGGCAAGCGCGCCATGCCAGCGCCGCCGATGTTGGAGCCCGCCGTGGCCCTGCCAGACCTGCCGCAGCGCTGCAGGGCTTGGACGGATGGGGCGTGCCAGCACCCCACGGACCCGCTGTTGGCGCGAGCGGGTTGGGGCTTTCAGCTGGAGACCCTGGCGGCCCGTGGTGCAACGCGCGCTGAACATTGCGGCCCAGACGGGCGGCAAGCCGCGCAACGCGCGGAGCTGACCGCGCAGCTCTGCGCGCTGTCAGCGAGGCGGGCCAGCCGGTCGAGGTCATCACGGATTCCGCATTCGTGGCCAAAGGCATTGAGGCAATCCGCCAGGTTGCCTTAGCCCGGGACTGGGCACATGCGGACTTGCGGGAGCACCTGGCACCTCACTGGAGGACCAGGTTCGTCATCGCGAGCTGGGTGAAGGGGAACCCCGATGAGGATGGGGCGGCGGCTCGCGGCGTGACAGCCCAGGACCGCCACGGCAACGCGGCAGCGGGCAGGCTGGCTGGCACCGCGGCCAAGGCTTGCTTGCCGGCGGCGGCCCTGCTGCAGAGGCGGCTCGTGCAGCTCAACGCCCTTGGGGCGCTGCAGTCGATGCTGGCCGCTGTCGAGCTCGAGGCCCTCAAGGCAACCATGACAGCCGCGGCCCGGATGGGCCTCGTGTGCGTCGCCGCTGGAGCGGGCTCCCACGCCGCCGAGCGCCGCTTGAGGGGCCCATGGTACGCGGCTGTAGCCGCTGCGGTGGCACAGCCCGGGCGGCAGGGGGCCGCGCCGCACCCTGGGCCAGCGGCTGCGGCGCTGGCGCTCTTCGGCGGCGGGGCGTGGAGGGTTAGGTCGGGCATTTCCCCCTACAGGCGGATTTTGGACGAAAACAAAAGATAATCAAAAAATGCCCCCCGAATGCCTAAAAGTACTCCAAAATCGCCCCCGGATTATTTTTGTTGGACTATGTTTGAACGTTCCTCCTGTAGAGGGACAGGCCCGACTCACGTGGAAGGCGCACGCGGCGTCGCAGGGGCCCAACTGAGTCGCCGAGGCCTGCGCTGCGGCTGCCGGGCCCCGGGCTGGGCGCGCCTTGCGAGTCGCCCCAATGTGCCGGGAGGAGGAGGAGGAGGAGGAGGAGGAGGAGGAGGAGGAGGAGGGGGAGGAGGAGGAGTTTTAAACCCGCGTGTTCCCGCCCGCGAGTGGGTGCCCCTGGTCTCGTCACACCGCGCGGGCCGAAAGGCCCGATGCGGGGTGGGCCAGCGGCCTCATCTCACGGCGTCTTACTGCCGCCACTCTGTGACTCATGGAGTCGCCCCGAGAGCAGCGGCAGTCTGAAGAAATGCTGCCGCTGCCCACTCAGAGCTTGAGGAGCAGCCTGATGGACGGCCGCAGCCGCTCCTCCGCTCTGCGCTCTTCCAGGGACCGCCCAGGCTGCTGGTCCCTGGACTCATGGGCCTTCTCGATCGCCCTGCCTGGCGCAGAGCTGTGGCCTAACCCCTCGCCACGCTGGGGCGCGTTGCGGCCTAACCCCTCGCCGCGCAGGGGTCCTCCGTGGCCTAACCCCTCGCCGCGCTGGGGGTCGATGCGGTCTAACCCCTCACCGCGCTGGGGATACTCGTGGCCTAACCCCTCGCCACGCTGGGGGCTGCTGCGGTCTAACCCCTCACCGCGCTGGGGCGCTCCGTGGCCTAACCCCTCGCCACGCAGGGGCCTGTTGCGGTCTAACCCCTCACCGCGCTGGGGTGCTCCGTGGTGGCCTAACCCCTCGCCACGCTGGGGTCTGTTGCGGTCTAACCCCTCACCGCGCTGGGGCCCATCGTGGCTTGACCCCTCGCCACACTGGGGGTCAATGCGGTCTAACCCCTCACCGCGCTGGGGAATGCCGTGGCCTAACCCCTCGCCACGCTGGGGGCTGCTGCGGTCTAACCCCTCACCGCGCTGGGGTGCTTCGTGGCCTAACCCCTCGCCACGCAGGGGCCTGTTGCGGTCTAACCCCTCACCGCGCTGGGGTCCCTTGTGGCCTAACCCCTCGCCACGCGGGGGCCTGCTGCTGTCTGTCCCCTCTCCTCTGTGGGGTCCTCCGTGGCCTAACCCCTCGCCACGCTGGGGATCGTTGCGGTCTAACCCCTCACCGCGCTGGGGTACTCCGTGGCTTAACCCCTCGCCACGCTGGGGCCTGCTGCGGTCTAACCCCTCACCGCGCGGGGGTACGCCGCGTCTTGCACTGTCCCCATCCTCGGTGCTGCTGCCCCCTGGCTCGGGCGGGGTCCCGCAGCTTTGCCACTCACTGTGTTCGCGGTTCACGTGGTATCCGCGGGCCGTGCCCTCCCCTTCGCGTTCAGACTGTCGGTTTCCCAGGGTTTGGGTCCGCTCTGTTAGTTGCGAGGTCCTGTCTACCACACTGTTGGTCAAAAGGTCCGCGTTTTGCTCATTGGGCACGTCATAGGCTTCCGCCTCAAGCCTCTGCTTGCCTTTGGTCCTGCGGCCTGCCCCCTCATCTCGCAAGGGATTTCCGTGGCCTAACCCCTCGCCACGCAGGGGTGCCTTGCGGTCTACCCCCTCACCGCGCTGGGGTGGGTCGCCGACGATCTTATTCAAGTCCCGCTGCAGGTCTGTATCGTCGTAGTCTGCCGCCTTCTCAGGCTGCGCTGTTTTGTGGCCTAACCCCTCGCCACGCGGGGGATCGCCGAGTCTCGTACTGTCCCCATCCTCGGTGCTGCTGCCCACTGGCTGAGGCGAGGTCCCCCGACTGTGCCTCTCGCTGTGTTCGCGGTTCACGTGGTATCCGCGGGCCAAGCCCTCCCCCTCGCGTTCAGTCTGTCGGTTTCCCAGGGTATGGGTCCGCTCTGTTAGTTGCGAGGTCCTGTCTACCACACTGTTGGTCAAGACGTCCGCGTCATGCTCACTGGGCTCGTCAGGGACCTCCGCCTCGATCCTTTGCTTGTCTCTGGGTCTGCGGTCTAACCCCTCACCGCGCTGGGGCCCTCCGTGGCCTAACCCCTCGCCACGCTGGGGTCCTCCGCGGTCTGCCAGGTGGTACCCTATGCTGTGCTGTGCATCTGGGAACTGCTGGTGGTTGTCATCGCTGCACTGCTTGTATACGTCCTGCTGGGGGCTGTCCTCTCTGTTCTCCTCTTCAGGGAAGTGGTCGAGGTCTGCCATGTCCTTGGTGCTGCGTCCTGCTGGTGGGGGACGGGCACCCCTCTGCATCCCGTCTGGCGCAGGGCTGTGGCCTAACCCCTCGCCACGCTGGGGTCCTCCTCGGCCTAACCCCTCGCCGCGCAGGGGTCCTTGGTGGCCTGTCCCCTCTCCGCACAGGGGCCTCCTCGGCTGTGTGGCTGGAGCCCTGCTTGGTTGTCGCCCTGCTGCTTGTGGTCGCGGGCTGCGGCTCCTCACTTCTGGCTCAGTCACGCCCAGGATCTGCTCAGCCGTTGCTCTGCGCCGCTCTGCCTCCTTCGGGTCCTGCTGCTGGATCTGTCTGCGCTCCTCTCCGCTGTTGAGCCATGCCAGGCGGCAGATCTCCTCCGCCGCTCGGCGCTGGCTGCGCTGGCGGTTCGTCCCTGACACGTGGCTGAAAAGCCTCTGATAGACTCCAGTCTGCAGCGCCCTCATCACATGGGGCACGCACGCGGCCTGTCACGATGGCCAGCCCAGCTCGCCCTCTTTCTGGCTCCAACAGCCTGCCAGCGACTGCATGAGCTGCTCGAGCCTGTTCCTCTCGAGCCACGCCACCTCCTGCTCGGGGTCCTGGTCGGCTTCTCCTTTGTTGTGTCGAAGCCTTGGGTGGAGCAAGCCGGCCTCGTCAGCTTCGCTCACGAACTTCATCAGGTCGGGCCCCACTGGCTTGGTCAGCGTTACTGCCACCTGCACTGCCGTCTGCATCAGGCTGTTGGCGTCGTGCCTCTGATCAGGTCCCGCCATGGTCTCCATCTCCTGGCTGCTCGGCTCACCCTCCAGCTCTGGGGCTTCACTGTCTGGGGTCGAGTCATCATCGTCCAGGTTCTCTGGTGACCACTCTCGGCTGGCCTCCGCTGTTCTCGGCAGCGGCCTGCGCTCACTGCTGGGGATGCTGTGCGCTATGATGTTGTTCCTTCTGTTGTGGAAGGCGTCCATGTGCACTCTAGCTGCCTGCTGCCATGTGCCATGCGGGAGGGTAAGCATCCTGGTCATGAGCCTCCGTCGCGTGCGGTGCGTGTTGCGCCAGACTTCTTCGCAGAAGTCCTTTATCTGCTGGATCTCCTGCACGGTGACGGCCCTGGTCTGCTCTTGCGTGTCCGTTCTGCCACCCACATTGGTGATGGTCAAGAGGTACGGTACGCAGTGCTCCATCCAGTCGTCCATGTCGTCCCAGACCTCTTGGTTGACCATGTTCATCCACAGCTCTGCGTAACCCTCCATGTGGTCGACGAGCCTCAAGCTGGCGTGGACGACAGAGTACGGATGGCTGGGCGGCTGCTGCGGAGCTGGCTGCGGGTCCCCTGCCTCTGAGCTGTCCCCGTCCAGATCGATCACCTCGTCGCTGCTCAGGCCGAGCTTGAAGCCACCTGGCATGGTGATCTCGTCGAGACCCTCATCAGCTGGGTCTGCTGCTGGCTTAGCTCCTCTAGGCAGCTTGCCCCTCTGCATATTCTCCATGACTCGCCTCCCTGCTGCTGTTGGGGGCTGACATGGCCTTGCCAGCTTCCTTGCCACTCCTGCCACGATCCTGCTCTTGTGGTCCCCAAGGTAGCTAGTGCCGCCACATTTCTCGCACCAGAGCCAGCCATGGGTGTACTGCGTCTTGTGGGAGCCGTGCACCACCTGCGTGCCGATCTGCACCGCCTTGAAGTCGAGCCTGACGTTGCCGTGCTGGTCCTGGTGGCCGCCGTACTTCCCGAGGCATTTCCCCGTCTCTGCCAACCAGTCTCTGATGCTTTGTCCTTTGGCTGGGCCACTGCGGCACGTTGCGCACCACCAACGCGGATGTAGTTTTCGCAGGTCGTGTCCCTGCTGGGCTGCCCTGTCCCTCGCCGTCTGCGGCTTTCGCCGCTTGGCCTTGGGACGCTGAGGGGCCTTGTTGGGGTCCTCCACCATCGCCGCCATGTTGGTGGCCAGCAGCCTGTTCTGCACCGCCATGGTGATCTGGTCTCTGATCTGCTGCTGCACGATGATAGCTGGATCCAGTGCTCCGTGCTCCGCCCCCCAGCCTGCGTACTTATCCGCCATCTCGTTACCTATGACCCACCAGGTGGGGCCATTCCACCTCTCCAGCTCTGTTGGGTGCTCAATAAGGTGGCTCGGGATGTGGTGGCCCATGATGGTGTCCGTGCTGTTCTGTAGCTGCTGCTTCGTCTGGAGCCAGAGGTCGTAGTTCGTGCTCCTGTAGTCCAGATCCTCAGGGTCCTGGATCTGCTTGAGTGCGTCCAGGGCGTATTTGCAATCGCTGACTATGTTTAGCCCCCTGGCTGTCGCCGCCGTGGTGTAGCCGATGGCTTTGCTCATGGCGGTGAGCTCTGCCCGTGGCACCGTGTGCGGTGCCCTGATTGTGCCGTGCCGGGCAGCCACTTCCTGCGGACGACCTTGTTCGTCGAACCTGAATGCCACCACTGCCCAGCCGCAGCGTCTGAGGCGGGGGTCCCTGGCCGTTTCCCCTGCACCACCTGAGCCGTCCGTAAAAACATAGTCTGCTCGCACCTTGTGCCCTGACTGGGCTGCAGCTTGTGCCTCTTCACTGGTGCAGAAGATCTGCGCCGCCTTCGCCGCGTCCTCGTCTGGGTCGACCTTGGCTGCCCAGGCCGCTGGCGGGATGCCTCGGAGCCAGAAATGCAGGTCCTGCCGCTGGTCCAGCGCGTCCTTCGCCTTCTTCGCCAGGTCGGTGTCATTGCTGTGCCCTATTTCTGCGTTGGCAGGGCAGGCGTAGTAGCGGTGTTCCTCTGTCTCTATCGCCTCGCCGCATCGCGCGCAGGTGTCATCGCCTTCTTGGTTGAGGTTGGCCGCCCTGCGACGCTCCCTGGTCCAGATGCCTGCCACCGCTATGGTCTCCAGCATTACTGCCTCTGCATGCTGTCCTTTACGCCTCCTTCTTCTCAGGTGGCGCTGCAGCTGATAGAGGTCGCCTCCAGCCTGAAGTCCTTCTCCACTGCGATGACCAGCTGCCTGCTGCCAGAGCTGCTGCTGCGCGCTCTGCTGGACCTCATGCAGGAGCGCGCCGAAGTGGGGAATGTCATCTGGCTTGTAGGCCCACTCGTCACCTGCTGGGCTGATCCAGCTGTCCAGGCGTCGCGGTATCCAGCCTAACCCAAGCAACTGCACAATGACCCCTGCCATGGGCCCCTTGACCTGCTGCCACCTGCGGTTGGGTTCCAGGGCGCCCAGCTTGGCGTAGAGCAGGAGCCAGCCCCTCTGGTACCTCTTGAGCTCCGTCGGGTGGTCGACTACGGTGAGCCAGAACTGCTTGATCTGGTCGCCGATGGCTCGGGTTACTGCCTCTTGCATACCCCTCTGGATCAGGAGGATGGTGGACGTGCAGCGTCCAGCCTTGTGTCCGCCTGTGAGGAGCGCTGCCTCCGTTGCCCTGACCAACTTCGCCTCCGTGGGCGTGATGCCGTGCGCTGGTAAGTCCCAAGCCTGCTGGCAGTAGGCACCTGCTGCATAGACCTTTGCCGCGCCTCTGGCGTCCGTCTTCGCCAGGTCCCTGAGCTTGGCCACCCTCTGCTTGGCCTTGGCCTGGCGCGCGGCATGGGTGGGTCGCCGCAGTTGCTTCCCAAGGCTGGTTTCCACGCCGAGGTCGCGCACTACCCCTGGTTGCTTGTAGGGGGTGCCCAGGCTGTCCAGGATGCTGGCGGCTTCTGCCTGGAGGTCCTTGTCCGAGGCCACCACTGCCGTCTTGACTGAGATGGGGATCGCGAGCTGCTTGAAACCATCGTGCACCAGCGCCGCCACGTGCTTGATCTGGTCAATGACCTGCCGCCGCGCGCCCTCTACCTGCAGGGCCAAGTCGTCCAGGTACTGCTGCATGACGACGAAGATATGGTGCCTGTGCGCTGCATCCAGGATACCATACAAGAGCGGTCTGGTGAGGTCTACCGCTTGGCCACAGCCTGCTACCATGCTGTTGGCAGGCTCAAAGATGTCCGAGAAGAGGCTGTGGGCCATGATGGCCCTGGGCGCAAGGTACATCTGCACGGCCATTGCCAGCGGCAGCAACGGGTACTGGAGGGCACTGGCCTTCTCGATCAGCTGGTCGAGGCCTATGTTGTCGTAGAAGTTTGCCGCGTCGTAGAACACTCCTGCTGCATGAAAGCCCATCTCCGTGGCGGCTTCTGCCCTCATAAGTCTGTGCATTGCCACTCGTAGCGCTGAGGAGCCAGCTACTGCCGTATCCCAGAAGCCCGCCGCTGCCTTGCTCCAGGTGGCTACTATGGGCCTCCTGGCTGCGCTCCAGATACGGCACGGCATGGGCATGAGGCCGATGGGGCGCTCTCCCCCGATCCCTGGCTTCTTACCCAGCAGCAGCTCCAGCACCAGGTAGAATTGCCACGGCCAGGCTGCCCGTTGCTCACAGCTGGTCAGGCACTGCACGAAATCTTCCAGCCCCTGGGCTCCCATGGCCTTGAGCTCTGGAGCCCTCCACCAGTCCGCTCCTTGGCCTGCATTGCTCTTCAGGTGCTGGATGATGGAGCCTATGATGTCCTTGCTGATGGGCTCGAGGGCATTCTCTTGGGCCAGGGCAGCCTTCCTCAGCTTGGCCAGCGCCTCTTGGATCCTCTCGGCCTTCTGCGCATCTCGTGTCCACCTGCGTTGCCATGCTTCTTTGCGCAAGTCCACCAGCTGCTGCGGGTGGTTGATGACCTGGCCCTCATGCTCTAGGATGTCCTCCAGATGGCTGCGCTCTGCTGCTTTGGTGTAGGCGTGGGCCATCTTCGCACTGCCAGCCGTGGCGTCATGCACCCAGTGGATGTACGCCTTCTTCACCGCCTTTGTGAGTAGCTTGGCCATGCTCTTTACCTCCTCTGCTACCCTGCTGATCGTCCCTGGGTCCACGAGGGCGCCCTCTGCTATGGCGTGCAGGTCTGCGAGGAGGGCCTGCTGCTGGTCCTTGGCTGCACCTTCATCGTTCGGCCTGCCTGGGTCAGGCTGGTTGAGCTGCTGCGCTAGCTGCTGTCTTGTGTTGATATGCTGCTGCGTCTGGCGGCCACTGTGGGTGCAGACCTGCTGCTCTCGGCGGCTACTCTGGCCACTGCCTGTACCTGGAGCATCATGTAGTTGTCTTCGCGCTGCTCCTTCTGGTGCTCTTTCGCCTATGACTTCTCGCATGAACCTCCTCAGGTTTGCGAGCTCCCTCCAGCGCATCATTTCCAATTCGTGCCTCCTCGTCGGCACCTCTCGCGCAAGTCCTTGGAGAAAGCCTCGGCGTCGCGGTTCTGCATGTCTCCATGCTCGCTCGCAGAGGTCCCTGATGATGTGGCTGAGGCCAGCCTGCTGGTACCAACGTCTGAGCAATCTCACCATGCCATTGTTGCCTCCGCCTCCCAGGATGGTCTCCAGGAACGGCACGCAGATCTGCATCCAGTTGCTGTTGTCCGTGGGGAGCTGCACCAGGTTATCCATCCAGATGGCCGCCCAGTACTCCAGGTCGTCTCTCATGGCCACGTAGTCTTCCCGCTCCCGCTGGTGTTGGTCGTCATTCCAGGGGTCTGTAGGGGGCAGGCCCATATCTCGTTGCTCATCTGCCTCTGGGCTTGGCGGCGCTTGGTTCTGACTCCTCAGGTGATCGGTACCCTCTGCCTCCAAAGTGCCAGCTAGCTGAGGAGGTGAGCAGTGCGTGTCACCTGGGGCGGTTTCACCAGATCCAGCTGCCTGACGACGTGCGGTCTGGCCGTAGCCGTTGCCATCCAGCTGCCCCTCGATACGCTGGTGGTACCCATCGCAGTCCTCCTGATCTGCGGTCTCCTGGCGGTTCTGGAAGCGGTCCTCCTCTTCCTCGAAGGGGTCGTGGTCTTGGTCGTCCATGGTGCTGCGTCCTGCTGGTGGGTGAGAAACAGGTCCAGCTGCTCGGCGGCGAGCGGTCTGGCTGGACTCGAGGCTGGCCTGCTGCCCCTCGATGTATTGGTGGTACCCATCGCTGTTTTCCTGGTCTGCGATCTCCTGGCGGTACTCCAAGCACTCCTCCTCATCCTCGAAGGGGTCGTGATCTTGGATGTCCATGGTGTTGCGCCCTGCTGGTGGGGGAAGGGCACCCCTCTGCATCCCTTCTGGGCAGCTGTCTGCGGTGCTGTGGGTATGCCCCACGTGGAGGTCAGGGGCGCCTCCTGCTGCACCTCCACTGCCTGCGCTCCGCTGCTGCAGCTCGGGGGGGCCCTTGCCCCGCTCGGTGGGGGGGCGTTCCACCGAGCTTCCTCCCGAGCTCTTCGATGGGCTCAAGGCTGGTGCAAGGTCGCCTTCTTCGTGGCCTTCCTGGCTGCCCGAGATGACGGGGCCATGCTCCAGCTCCAACGGGCCCTGTCCTCCTCCCGAGTCCTCATCGGGACGTGCTTGTGTCTTGCCCTGTCGACTTGCCGCTGCCTCCTGCGCTCGGGCGTCGTGGTGCGAGAGCTGCCGCACCAAGGAGGAGATCTCCGCCCACCACGCATGGATCTTCCTTTCAACCCCTGCCCATGGCGTAGAGGTGACGGTGTCCTTGATGCTCACGCTCGCGTAGCTCGGGGGCCTGCTGTGCCCGAGATGACGTCCTCGATCTTCCTCTGGGATGCCGATGCTCTCGCACAGGCTGAGCTCGAGTGTGCTAGCGAAGTGGTCGTACTGTTGCCCCAGATCCAGCATGTCCCGCTCCATCATCTTGCCGACGACAGTGCGCTGCAAGTGCTGGGGCAACTCGTCGTAGACACGCAAGCTGACCCTCTCGGAGGTGGCCTGCCACAGCTCGTCAGGGATGACGTGCTGGACCTCCTTGTCGTAGTACAGCTGCGGCACTGGCTCCATGTCGTTTCCTTCCTGGTCGCATCCTGCCTCTGCCAACGCTTGCTGACGTCGGCGCATGGCCTCCTGGCCTCCTCGCGCCGCTCGCCTGCAAGCGGCTCTGGACTTCGGCATTCTCTCAACTGCGACTGGTGGCTTTATGGCTGCTGGCCTGCGAAGTACCCTGCCCTTGAGCTTTAGAGGCCGCCCTCTCAGCTTCAAGCGGATGCCAATGTGCGGCTTCCACGGCACGGTCCTGAGCAGCTCTAGCTGGTCAAAATACGGCGCCAGGCCCTGCGAGATCAGCGCGAAATCCATGCACCTGGCTTCGCCTCCTGCTGGGAAGCACGTGGGGGCGCCATCCTCCGCCGCTGCTACTTGAGCATTCAGCACCCTGGGCCAGATGCTGTTGTTGAGCTCCGACGGCGTCATATTGAAATCCCCAAGCGCTGCCCATGGCCCTCCCCAGACGGCCATCTTTTCCCGCAGGTCGCAGAGGATGTCGACGTTCCTCTCTCCGAAGCCCGTCCCACACTCGAGGTAGACGAAGGCCGCTGCGAGGCGGACCTTGTGCAGGTTGGAGATCACCACCGTGACGTCGCTGCCGTCCTCGTGCAGGTAGTGCTCGTCGAAGCCCGCGATCCTGTCCTGGACGTCCAAGGATCCTCGCGTTATGGCACACGTTCCTCCACGAGTGCCTTCTCCTTCTCCTGGCCGTGCCTTGGTCCAGTAGCTGTGCATGCCTTTCCTCCTGAGCGCCGCTCTTGCCTTGCCTATCTGCGCAGGCTGGCGGAGGTGGTGTTCCGCGATGCCGATGATGTCCCTGTCCTTGGTGTCGTTGGTCTCCACGAGGTAGCCCTGTGCCTGGGGGCCCCAGGTCGTGACATTGAAGAAGTCGATGTGGCAAGGGCGGCGAGCCTTCTTCGTGCTCGCCTTGGGGCGGCTACCCTGCTGAGTGGTCACCTTGCCCTTCTGCGTCGACGACTGTCTCGGCGCGCCTGGCCTGCGAGACCTTCTCTCGCGCCTCCTGGATGTGGGCCTCCACTCTAGCTCGGCGTTCCTCTGCTTTGTCATGTTCTGCTGCACCTGCTTCTGGTTGGGCAGCTGCCGCGGCGCCGTAAGGCGCAGCCGCAGCAGCTGACCCTGCTGCCTCAGCGCCTGTGGTGGCTCCTCGCTGAGGGGCTGGGCTGGCAGCGCAGACGCGCTTGCCTGGTGGGGCATCTGCTGCTTCTGGGTCTTGCTCTCCGCTCTTTGACAGGCGCTTGGTGCGGGCCTGCTCGAGCTGGCGCAGCTGCTCCTGGTGCCTGGCCGTCTCTTCCTCCAGAAGTCGCAGGTGCTTCGCCGTCTCCTCCTCGTGCTCCTTGACCGTCTGGGCCATGCGCTCACCCTTGGCCTTTGCAGCTCGCCAGACCTCCTTGTCTGGCTCGGACCACTTGTGGAAGTCGTCAGGCTCGTGCTCGAACTGCTCCAGGAGGGCTGCCAGCGTTGGCTTCTCGGCTGCGGGTTCGGCTGGTACCTCTTGCTTGCCGACTGTGGCCTTGAGCTTGTCGAACTCATCTTCTGCTGCAATGGATGCTTCCATAGCTTCACGAAGCTTGCGTTCACTCTCAGCCAAGTACTGCTGGGCACTCTCCACTTGCTCCCCTGCCGATCGTACCTTCTTCTGGAGTTTGTCCAAGCGTCGAGCTGCTGCCTCCACTGCCTTGAATCCAACGACTGGTTGATCTGCTGGTGGCTTGGCTGCGGCGAGCTCTGGCCAGAGGGCCTCGTAGTGCTGCTTGAGCGGGTCGTCCTTGCTGAGCTTGCCGTATGCTGCTGCAGCTGCGGCCTTGAGATCGGCGGTCTTGTCGTGAGGTGGTGGCTGGCGTTGGCCTCCTTGCCCTTTCCCGCCTGCACCACCTCCTGGCTGCCAACCATCTGCCCAGCTGATCCTGGGCGAGGTTCCTCCTTGGGGCTGTGCTGCCCCCCACCCACCTTCCTCGTCACGGAAGACGTGTCCGTCAGGGACGAGGCAGGCGAGATTCTTGCCGCAGATGCAGAGGCCGCCCCTGCTGGTGATGTTCTTGCAGTAGCGCCATCTGCTGCACCCGTCACACACCACGTAGCTGCTGCGAGGAGGGCGACTGCCACTGCTGCTCCTCTTCCACGGGGGCACTCTCTGGCGATTCGGGGTCCCCGACCAGGCGCTGCCCGCCCCGCGTCCGCCGCTGCCACTCCCCATGGCTGCAGCAGTGCCGCGCGCGCGCCCGACGCCCGTCTGGGAACTGTCCTCGGTCCAGAGGTCTCCCTTCGGCCTGGAGGCTGGACAGCCCCCCAGGTCGCCATCTTGAGCCAAAATGGCTACGGAGGGGGAGGAGGAGGAGGAGGAGGAGGAGGAGGAGGAGGAGAGCGCGGGTGCCCAGCTGGCGGCGCCGAAGGCGGCCGCGCCGATGCTGCTCCCACCCTCGCGGGCCGGCGGAGGCTGAGGCTGCCTGGCGCGGCGCGGGGTCTTGAGGCAGCGCTTAAAGCGGCGCGCCCGGGCAGGTCGGGCATGTCGTCCTACAGGGGGAGTTGGGGCGAAAAATAAAAACATGCTGTTTTCTCTATAAAAAGCCGTCCGCAGACAATTTGTTCAAACTTTTTTTGAACATTGCTCCTGTACAGACGGACAGGCCCGACTTAAGACTAGTGAGTGGGAGGTGCGGTCGCGCCTGCTGGGATGCCCAGGCGCGCCGGGCTAATCAAGTTATTCGCTTCGCGACGGCTGCTCTGTGCAGCCGTGGTCCCGCGCGCTCGCCGGGCGCGCTGTTTGTCTTCCTCGCTCCTCCTCATCCCCCTCCTCCTCCTCCTCCTCCTCCTCCTCCTCCTCCTCCTCCTCTTCTGGCCTTTCCGCGTTTCTTTGTCACCCGTTCTCGCCGCTGGGCTCCCCTGGATGGCAAAAAGTGTGAAGACGCTGTTCTACTTAAATCGACGTCGTGGTCATCGTCGAAGTCTTCGTCGTCGTCCTCGTTGTCGTTGTCGTCGTCGTCGCCGTGACCCCCGTTTCCCAGGGCCCGTCGCTGGCTTAGGCGATAAATGTGTCTTCCTGCAGCGCGAAACGCTCGAAGGAAACCGTGCAGGAGACGCCACCTGGCTCTTTCGCGGCAGGTAACCATCGCCATAAAAAAGAGAGTCGACATCGAACTCCCCAACTGCAGAGGTTCGCACAAGGGTGAACGCCGGAGGAGAAGGAGGAGGAGGAAGAGAGAAGGAAAACGAGGCTCAGAACGCAAAAGTCTTGATGCTTATGTATGGCCAACGCAATCCATCTTCGTGAGGATCTCCCTCACTAAGCGCCGCCCCTCGCGTGCTTGGCCTGGGTGAACGTCGTCTCCCCCTCCCAACCCCCTTTCACTGGGCCCTCCTCCTTAAGCGAGCCAGCCAAAGCGAAACCAAAAGCGAAATTGAGCAACGTCGTAATTGAGTCGAAAGGAAGCCCCTTCCCTTTGATCCCTTCCCCCCCCCCGAGGGGGGGGAAGTGTCCTGGGGGGCGTAGACCGGGGAATCCAGAGCTCAACAACCTTAAACTCCAGAGCTTGAAGGGTTTTGATTCTAGACTCCGGGGTGGTTGCTGCAGCCCCTCTTCCTCCTCCTCCTCCTCCTCCTCCTCCTCCTCCTCTTCCTCCTCCTCCTCATCCTCCTCCTGCTCCTCCTCTTCCTCCTTCTCCTCCTCCTCCTCTTCTTCCTCCTCCTCATCATCTTCCTCCACCTCCTCCTCCTCCTCCTCCTCTTCCTCCTCCTCCTCCTCCTCTTCCTCCTCCTCCTCCTCCTCATTCTCCTGGTGGGGCCAGGGCCGGAGCGGGAGCTCTGGGATCAGAGGCCAGGGCCAGGGCAAGAACCGAGGGTGGGGTCGGGGCCAAGGCCAAGGCCGCGGCAGGCGCCGGACCCGAAGCTGGGGCCTGGGTCGGGACTGGAAACAGTGTCCGGCCGATGGACCCAGAGTCGAAAACCGGGAACTCTGGAGTCCTAGTTTGTGCTTTTCTCCCCCACGCGCGCTCTCCAGACAGGAGCTCAGAACTTCCGGGTTCTGGGTTCCTCCGTTTCCAACGTTTCCCCCTCGTCTCCCTCATGCCCCCCCTGCCCCGTGGCCGCTTCCTCCTTCCCCCGTTTTCTCGCTCCTGCTGCGGGAGAATTTCGCGATGCCGTCTCCAGACTTGCCCGATTGCGCGTGCGGACTGCCTCTGCCGCGCCGCGACGAAAAAATCTGTCCTCAGCGGGGATATTCATTCTTGAGTGTTGAGTATCTCCCCCCCGTCACATCCGTTACAGAGGGGGGGGAGTCGGGCCCCCGTGGGGGGTAATGGTAAGGTGGTCAGGCCCCGCGCGGGGGGGGCCCGGCGCCAGACGACGACGACGACGACGACGACGATGGCGGCGGTGGCGGCGGCGGCGACGATGACGACGAGGACGACGACGACGATGACGACGACGACGACGACGAGGACGAGGAAAGGGGACCGGAATGGCGACGACGACGACGACGACGACGACGACGACGACGACGACAACGACAAGGACGAGGACGACGGCCGCTTCTGAAGAATTCTGGAGGCCTCCGGAGGCCGAAGGAGGTCTCTGGAAGGCGTCTGGAGGCCTCTCTGGAGACCTCTGGAGAAGTATGGAAGACCATCGACGGCCTCGGCGACGACGACGACGAGGAGAACGAGGACGACTGAGACGAGAACAACGATATGGACGAGTACGAGGACGACGATGACGACGACAACCATGACGACGACGACGCCGACGACGACGCCGACCCTGACGACGACAACGACGACGCCGCCGACGATGACGCCGACGCCGACGACGACAGCAAGAACCGACGAAGGACGGCAACGACGACGACGACGACAGCGACGACGACAACGACGACGACGACGACGGCGGCGGCGACGACGACGACTAAAGGGGACGACGATGACGAAGACGACTACGACGGCGACGAGGACGAGAGCAATGAAGACGACGACGACGAGGACGACGACGACGACGGGGACGACGACGAGGACGGGGACGGGGACGACGACAATAAAGACGGCGACGACGAGTACGACGACGACGACGACGACGACTACGTCGAGGAAGTGGACGACAAACGACGACAGCGAAGACGACGACGCCGACGACGACGCCGACGCCGGCAATAACGACGACGATGGACGGTCACAACGACGACGACGAGGACGACGACAACGACAACGACGACTACGACGACGTCGATGACGATGACGACGATGGCGACGAGTACGAGAGCAAGGGAGACGACGACGACGAGGACGTTGACAACGACGGCGAGGACGAGGACGAAAACGGGGACGACCACAATAAAGACGACGGCGACGAGACCGAGGACGACGACGACGAGGACGACGAACAACGACGACGAAGGCGACGACGACGCCGACGACGACGCCGACGCAGACGACGGCAATAACGATAACGACGGACGGCAACAACGACGACGACGACGAGGACGACGACAGCGACTTCGACGAAGACGCCAACGAGGACGACCACAGCGACAACGACGACTACAGCGACGACGACGACGACGGCGACGACGACGACTACGGCGACGTCGATGGCGACGACGACGACGACGGCGACGAGGACCAGAGCAAGGAAAACAACGACGAGGACGACGACGACGACGAGGAGTGGGACGGGGACGACCACAATAAATACGACGACGAAGAGTACGAGGACGACGACGACAACGAGGCCGAAGACGACAAACGACGACGACGAAGACGACGACGACGACGAACACCGCGACGACGACGACGACGACGAGGACGACCGCCTCTGAAGGTCTCCACATGTCTCCAGACGCCTCGGGGAGTTTCAGAGGCCTCTGGAGGCCTTCGAGACCCGAGAGCGACGACGACGACGACGACGACAGAAGAGGACGGGGACGACCACGACTAGAAATACGACGACGACGAGGACGAGAGCAAGGAAGACGACGACGACGAAGACGACGACGACCAGGAAAAGGACGGGGACGTGGACGACGACGAGGACGACGACGACAACGACGAGACCAAGGACGAGGACGACAAACGACGACAACGACGACGAACTTGGAAGGTCTCCCAAAGTCCCCAGACACCTCAGGAGGTTCCGGAGGCATCTGGAGGCCCTGCGAGGCCCTCGGAAATACCGACGTCGACGGGGAGGACGAGGACGAGGGCGAAGGCGAAGACGACGACGAGGGCGATGACGAGGACGACAACGACGACGAAGACCACGACGACGACGACGAGAGCAAAGACGACGAGGACGACGACGACGAGGACGACGACGACGCCGACGACGACGACGATTGCGGCCGCCTCTCGAGATCTACAGAGGCACAGAGGTTTCCGGAGGCCTCAGGAGATCTCTAGAGGCCTCTGGAAGCAACTGCTATATAAGAAATATAGCTTGTGAGTCTCATAAATCGATTGAGTGAGCTTGTGTGAACTCGTAACGAGTTACATTCCATTACGATCATGTATGTAGCTGCAAGTACAGAAATGGAAACACGATGTCATTGGTGTTGCATCGTATTCTAGCGAAGTCCTTTCATACCCTAGCTGCCTTCCGCCAAGACCCCATCTACACCCACTGCCGTGTAGTATCAGCAAAGGCTTGTCTTGCCAATTGCACAACGTTTTGAAGACATGCCTCGGACAGCGGCAAGATGGCCGCGCCAGCGTGCATGACCAGCGATCTGGAAATCATGTTCGATGTTGACGGCAAGGTTCCGAACGACGTTTTCGAAAACAAGACCCGCGTGGAGGAGAAGGCCGCTACGCCCTGCTACTGCCGCTTTAACTGCAAACGCTTGTGGGGCCGAATCGAGAAGCTACAGAAGTCCAGGCCTGGACTGAAGGGGTGGAGCAAGGGAATGAACAAGGAGGAGACGGCAGACTTCTTCAAAGATAATGTTGACGCCCTGGGCCCCAACCTGGCCGCCCTCATGGAGTGGAAAGTGTCCAAGATTGATGTTTCGGAGTCGATGTCCGAGTCAGGGGAGTCTGACGAGTGGCTGGACGAACACAACCTCATTACCAAATATGCGGGCCGAGAGCATCAGGTCCGCTCGATCATGCAGAATGAGAATAAGAAGCATCACGCGCACCGCAACGTGACGCTGCACCAGGATGCCAAACATCAAGACCAGGCTTAGCACCAGGCACGAGCGCAAGACGACCTTTGAGACGAATACCTCCACCGAGGAGAAGCTGAATGCGCAGAAGGTGGCCGAACTTCGCGACCAGAAGCGGCTCGAAGAGAGCACCGAAATGGCCGAGGGATACGTCCACGACATCATCTGGGTGCTCGCGAGGGCGGCCGCGGCGAAGCGCCAGGACCACGTCGGCAAGAAGGCCATCGAGACAGGCGTTAGGTCGGGCATGTCCCCCTACAGGCGGATTTCGGACCAAAAATACAACATGTGCAAAAAGATATGCAAAATAAAAGAAACGTCGTCCCGTGACTATTTTCCGACTATCTTCTTTAAAAACTATATTTCGACTATGTTGGAATATTCCTCCTGTAGAGGGACAGGCCCGACGTAAGGCAGGCGCGACGGCCGATGGGGCCATGGAGGCCGCGATTGCCGAGGTGCCGTTGGCGATCGAGCCGGGCTGGACGGGCCGACCCGCCGAGGTGGAGAAGCGCACGGCGGCAGCACCGGGGACAGCGCCGAGAGCCTGACCGACAACGCCCAGAGCCGGGTCATCCCCGCCGGGGGCGGTGAAGCACAGATTGAGGCTTGCGGCAGGAGGGTCCAGAATCGAGCCGATGAGTCGAAGCGGCGATCGAAATGACTCGGATCGGCGGGAATCGGCAGCCGAGCAAGGAGAAGTCGAACCGGCGGAAATCGGCAGGATAGAGTATACCTCCAGTGAGGAATCGGATGCCGAATCGGAATCCGAAGTCGAATCGGCTCGGAATCTGGAGCCACCGAAATCGAATCGGATCGAATCTCGGGGGGAACGAATGGAGGGGGTAGCAAAGCGCAGGGCAGAGAATCAGCTTACGTAACTGATTTTCCCAGCGCCTCTCGGCGCCTGGAGGCGCCCATGTATCGAGGAATGGGCCCGGCGGCGGGGCCGAAAACAGCTCCATGCAGCAGATTTCGTAACCCCCCTTTCCCTATCCCCCCCCGTTCGTTCGGCCCGAGTGTAGAAGAAGAAAAACGGCGCAGACAGAAACTTTTGGCGCTCCGCGCGGATT